AAAAGACTCCATGACAAAGACTAGAGGTTTTGAACAGAAAAGCAGTGACTTGGTGATCATAAACCAGTGCAATTTGAGAAGACTCACAGAATCATAAATAGTAAAAACAAAACAAAACAAACAGAAGCAGATTAAGGCTTCTATAATTTAATACATGTTGAATTTGGTGAGACTTTACATGACTTATATTAGTGGTTTTATTTAATTAATCAAAAAACATTTTCTGTGGTTGTTAGAAGTATGAATGTCAAAGATCTACATTAGTAAAATTTTCTGCCCCCCCCAAAATGAAGAGTCATGAATGATATATTAATTTATGACTAAACAATAGAAAGTCAAATAATTATCAAAACTATTAATTAAAAAATAACTAAGTAAAAAAGCATGATACCAACTCATTCTAGGAATTAACACAGATTTTAAATGGTTGCTGGTTTGAGATGTCTGAGTTTTATTTTGATATATGGAGTAGATTAATGTTACTAAGAAACTGATAACGGTGAATCTGTTCAAGAAGTTTTTAAATTTTGGGTCTTTTTGAGACAAGGTCTCCCAGTAGTCCCAGCTGCCCTAAACTCACTATGTAGACCAAGCTGGCCTTGAACTCACTGAGTGTTGGGATTAAAGGCGTGTACTACCACGCCCAGCCCCCCCCTTCAAGATTTTTAAGAACACATAAAGATATTACTTTTGTGTTGTTAGTTTAGAATGCTACCACAGCTATAAACTAGAGCTGTTTTCCCTGTTGCTTATACTTTCAAAGAGTTGGATCTCACCCAAGGACCTAGGACTCTCCAAATATGGGTACAGGGCAGGGGTTAGACACAGACTGAAAACTGAAATGCAAATGAAGTCAACTTTCCTATTGATTTGTCATCACAGTTCACCCCTTGGTGACCGGTTCACTTCCTGCCTTTGGGCAAACTTATGTTTCCTTCCCCCAGCAGTGTAGCCAAAGAGATTTTGGGAGTACACATAAGACTTTGGAAAAATGACATGAAATCTGCAAATGTAAAAACAGAAAATATTACCAAAAGGGTATAGCTAGACATTGAAGGCTATTGGTCACAACTTATTTTAATATCAATAGATTATTCACATTTTTATAAAAGCCCAGAAGTTGCTTGCCCAAATAACCAGAAGTCTGATAAAGATCATAACCTCTGACCAGTGAAGGAAACCTGAATTGTGTTCTATTTCAGAAAAGAGCATTCAAAAAGAAATCATTCAGCACTATTAAAAATCCTTTGCTATAGTCACTACCATCATTTATCCATTAAAAAAGGATCATCCGGGGCTGGAGAGATAGATGGCTCAGCAGTTAAGAGCACTGACTGCTCTTGCAGAGGACCTGGGTTCGATTCCCACCATGCACATGGTGGCTACGAACCATCC